AAGACGTCTTCGAAGAAGAGCAATTCGAACTCGGGATCCATGGGACAGAATCTTGTGGAACCGAGCAGCAAAGCAACTCAAAACCATCTTAAGGGAACTCAGAAGTTATTTCTTTGAGGAAAAAAGTATCTTCCATGGACTACACTGTTGATGCAAACTATTCGCTGTGGAAGTGCACAAAAGCGCTTAAACATCAACCACTTAGATGGGTACCCGTCGGCTACCACCTAGAGGATCCCTTCACTCCTTATGACTACGCCACGACAGACAAGAGAGAATCACCAGTACCTACAAATGCCATTGCATTTGTCTTGGCCTATTAAGCCAATAACGATAGAAGAAATATCTGAAATAATCAAATTAATGCCGAAACACAAAGCTCCTGGGTCGTATCGGCCTATAAGCCTCTTACCGTCCCTTTCTAAATTATGGGAGAGACTTTTTGCCAATTGGATCAACGACATTATAAGACAAGGTAATATATTGCCGGATCCTCAATGTGGATTTCGAAAGAGACACGGCACAATAGAACAGGTCCACAGACTGGTAAAACATATATTACAGGCTTTTGACGACTGCGAGTCGTCTTTATAGACATGCAACAAGCCTTCGACAATGTATGGCATGTTTGATTATTATGCTAGATGAAGACCCTCCTACCTGCGCCCTACTTCTGTATTTTGAAGTCATATCTGAATTTAAAATCACGGTGAGAAATAACTACTCTTCTATATATCCAATGAGAACTGGAGTCCCACAGGGCAGTGTTCTCGAACCGTTACTGTATTCCTTGTACACTGCTGATATCGCTTGCCTGAATTTCGAACACATGGTAGCACCCAACAAGGCTCTTATGGCAACCTATGCAGATGACATTGCAGTTGTGTACAACTCTAGGGACAGTAGAGAGACAGCTACAAGGATACATTAATGCTCTGGCAGCCTGGTGTAAAATGGTGGAAACTAAAAATAAACCCACTGAAAACAACAAACCCACGATAAATAACCAACTGTCCCTGGTATGTACGTAACTCCGCACTCCATAAAGACCTCAATCTTGACACAGTTGAAGCCCAAATTGGGAGACAGACAAGTCGATACAGTGACAGATTACTGAGTCATAGCAGTCTTCTTGCAAGATGTCTTATCCCCGCTCGACCTCTGAGACGACTCAAACGGCAAGGCTTTGCAAAGACAATTGGACAACAGTAAAAACTTTTCACTTATGTTCCTACTTCACTTATTTTGATATAGTGCTTGATAATTCATAAGAATATTTCCCCACCCTGTGATGTTAAGATATAATATTATGATATACAGATTCTTCACTTAATAAATACATATATATATGAAAAATAAACTTCCAACATTAAACTGTGCTACCATTGATGATCTAATAATCAAACTTAACTCAACGTTTTTACCTATAGCATATCAATTTTTTTTTTTTACTCAAAGAAGTAAAATTTAAACAATTAACAATTGTTTGATTTACATATTTACTACGATAAGCCCAAACTGTTCCAAGGGCAAACAAATCCAAACTATTGGAAAAAGTAATTATTGGATCGAACTATCGGAACTACCTGTACAAATCTGCCAAGCTTACATATTTTATTTTCTAATTTATACACAACTATTGTTCCCTAAGTACTATTTTATAAGTACTGTTTTATGTCTCCTGTACTTTTTGAAAAAATTGGACAGGTAGATGATTTTTTGTCCAATTTTATCCAATTGTAAGCGCTGTTCAAAAGCTGAGGGCCAGTTAACAATACATATGTATTAGAAGGTTTTGTGGCTTCTAGCTTTGACTTCATGCGTTAAATTGTTTTACAGAAATCCAATCCCCATTAATTAACTAAACATTTTGATCAAATGTTTAATGTTTAAGCAAACGCTTTTGCTTAAGACGCTCCCATTGTAGTTCTATTTGCAAGTAATGGTAATTTTAGTTGTAATAAAACCACTGTTATCAAAATGCACTTTCGAATGAAAACAGGAAATCAACTGCATTCACATATTAAGAACTACAAGACAGTTGCACAGCGACCTCGAAGAATCAAATTCGTTGGTCGGTATGTGTGCGTTGGAGGGTTATTGACTGAAATGTTTCTGACATTTCAAGAAATTCCAATTGGTAGTCACAATTTTTTTGCGCCATGCCCACTCTAACGCCCACAAACCGCCCAAGACTTTCACGCCCACAGATTCGAAAAATATGTTACAATTTTTTATTTATTTTATTATTTGTATTTCCAATTTCTATTGATATGCTACAAACATAACCGCTATGCTTTTATTTATGAAATATTATTTATTAAAAAAAAAAGTAATAATTCTTCCGCAAGGTTGCATCTCAGTGAGCATCTTGAGTGCGGAACACCATTTTGGCCGTAATATCTAAAAATATTCGAGAATTCGAGAGAGCCTAAAGCCAGCTCTAAAGAAATCGTATGGCTTTACGTATCTTGTTATTCCCACAAACCGCCCAAAGCCACGCCCACACTTTTGAAATTTTTAAATTTGTTTTAATTTTCACCTATATTTCGGTAATGTTAAAATTCCTCGTTCGCACTTCCTCCACTAGCTGAGTAACGGGTATCTGATAGTCGGGAAACTTCACTATAGCATTCTCCCTTTTTTTAATTTATAATTGTATTTATTTTCTGAAATCTTCTCTTTGAAAATAAAAGAAAAAAATGTTTTTATAATCATTAAAATATAATAATACTTATATGAATTACTGATTTATATAGGAAAGTTCAAAGGAAGGGAAAAACTCGCTTTGCTAGTCTTACTATAATAGACTTTATCCTATTATCTCAAATTTTAACTGAGCGATCAATACTATAAAACGTTTGTGTTCGATTTGCTACTTAATAATAAAGACTTTTTTACGATTTTGAACACAATTAACTTTAAATCTGTTTTCCTTTTATTTAATAAATGTAGTTGCTTCCGTTTTCACCTGAAGATATTGAGTTAAATGTATTATTCGATTATTTTTTTTTTCGGAATTATCGAGACGTAAGCTCACACACATACAGTGGCTCACAGCTTATTTCAACCACCGTCGATCTGAAACTTCAACGGTCTGTAAAAGCTGAACTAAAAATTTTATCAACAAAATTTAAACGCAACATATTTCTAGTATGTTTCAAGATATTATTAACTAACTTATTTTATTTTTAATAACTTTTGTAGTATTATTTTAATAATTAATAATGAAAATGTTCCTCAAATCAATGCAACAGCTTATTTCAACCAGTTTGTAAAATTGGTATTTTTTCCTATGCTTAAAACTATAAACAATTTTTTAAAATTTTGTGTGACCTCCCTTGTTGTTAACAACCATTTTAAGGTCTTTTCGGCTCGAATCCACTAATTTTTGGGTGAGCTCTGGGGTTATTTTAGCCCACTCCTCATTTCACTTTCACTATTCACTATTTCATTTTCATTATTAATTATTAAAATAATACTACAAAAATTATTAAAAATAAAATAAGTTAGTTAATAATATCTTGATACATACAAGAAATATGTTGCGTTTAAATTTTTTTGATAAAATTTTTAGTTCAGCTTTTACAGACCGTTGAAGTTTCAGATCGACGGTGGTTGAAATAAGCTGTGAGCCACTGTATTTTACCAAATCTACCTGCAAAAACAACTCCACCTTCCCCAGGGCATTATAAGTTCGAAATCTTTTCTTAATCTTCACTGTAAAGCATGTTATTGTTTTGGGGTGTATAGCTGGATGTAAAGGCTTAAAACAAAAAAAATAGGCCACCACATCAAAAGTACATACACAAATTATATTTTTACTGGGAACTGTTGTTATCTTTATTTTGTTTACAACTTTTTTCGCTAAGAATTTTTGTAATATCCTCAGCTAATTGGTTAAATAGATTTGAGTACTTGCTGTCTGGATACTTTATTACAACAGGCACTCCACTTTCGTTGCACTCCGCTATTTGTGAGTCTAACGGAAGAGAAATTAACTTACGTGGTAGAGAATTTATATCACTGTCTTTAAAAAACTCCAATCGTTGATTACAGTTTTCACAAATGGTGTACCTCATATTCTCTACTACGCCAAAGATAGGAACATTTAACTTTTCGTACATTCTTGCACCTTTCAATGTCACCTGAACAGCTGCAGTATGAGGTGTTGTTACAAGGATGACACCTGTGATAGGAGCATGCTGGGATAGTGAGAGATGTACATCTCCAGTTCCCGGTGGAGTATCTATAACCAAAACATCTAAAAGTCCCCAATCAGCACCTTTTAGCAGCCGTTGTATTGCTGACATTACAAGAGGACCTCGCCAGATAACAGAGGACTCTACAGGTATCAGCATGCCCATAGACAAGCACTTTACATTGTAGTTTTGAGGCGGGATCATCAAATTCCTATCGTTCACAACCGGCTCACCATGGACATTCATTAGAAGTGGAATAGTAGGCCCGAATATATCACCGTCAAGCAATCCTACTCGCTTTCCAAGTTTTGCCATGCTGCAGGCAAAATTAGCTGTAAAAAGACACTATAACCCCCATGAATCGTAATACATATGTATGTGAGTACACACCTGCCACGGTACTTTTGCCTACACCCCCCTTTCCAGATGCAACGACTATTATATCTTGCACTCCAATAATCGGTTCCTTCTTAGGCAATCCCCGCGCCATCAAAGTCTTTTGGGGCCCAGTTAATTTTGTTGCGTAGCAACGCCAGAGCGTGTTGGTCAATAGAGGGCCCATGGATATAAAACGACCATTTAACTTTTTACCTTAAATATAAAACTCTTAGTGGAAACAGCGACGACAATATTATATCCGATTCTCACACATTTCTATCATTCCTATTTTGCGAAGTTATTTCTAGATATTATTTAATGTAAACAATACCCGGTGTGTATCGATAATGTTCGATAACTCAAGAAATAATTGGAGGTATTTAGTATTTTCTTTTGGACGACTGTGCATCTGAAAAGAACTGAGCAATTTTCCTTCAAATTAATGTCCATACTGAACCATTTATTTGGGGTTTCCCCCAAAAATTTTCCCTTTCTCCACAAATTTTAAATAAATCGTTCAAAACGATTAATTCACATTTTAACATTTTTCATAACTATTTTCTGTATATAGCAGAAAAATATCGAAGAAACATTTAAATCCTTACTGAAGTTCTTGTAAAGTGTAACACTATACAGTATACAAACATATACAGTATACATACACATTATTCTGATGTCTTTCCCGAAACCATGTATTGTCTACACACAGTTTCTGCAGAAATACCAGTATCATTATCATTTATATCTTAATTTTACAATGTAGTCCTTTTAAAATTGGTAATATTAATATACATTTTATAACATATGTATGTACATCATACATACACATAAATTATGTAACAAAATCAAAACAAAATATACATTAATAGCATTGTCTGCCACAGTAAAAAGGGCAAGCACATTTTTAAGAAAGGGTACTTCCGAAAATCAAATGACGAAATTAAAAAGAAGCAGACATAGGAAAGAGAAGCAAATGTACAATGTATTGTTATATTGCTTCGTCAAGATCGTCAGCCATTTCTGATACCTTGGAAATATAGCGACGGCTTTCAGATTTCGGATTGAACTTTGCAAGTAAGTGGCACATAATAATATTTAATTCCAATTTAATATTTTTTTTCTATTCTTCCGCAGCGAGACTTTTTTTTTTGTTGAACAGCACCGAACACGTGTGGCGCAGACGCACTATCCTTTACAGCTCGGTAATTCAGTGCGTCGGCAATGAATTTTCTAATGCAATCTCATTCAAACTTTATCAACAGTGAATCACTACCAAGTATTCATCCTGAGCGCTAAATCACCGCTTAATTTGCATGTTAACTTTTGATGATTTTAGCATTGGCATCACTATCTTTCTTAACTTTTTTAAATAACCTTTCATTATTAGTCATCACATTTTTTAACTACCATTATATTTTTAATCACATAATTTTTAATCATTTTTAAATCACACTCTTGTTGTCTTACAGAGTTTTTCCCAGTTTCTATTCAGTTCATTTGGTAAGAGCCTTCGTCAGTCTGTAAATATTTTCCATGGTCAATTAATCTTAATATAAACAATATAGAATCCCGGACTATTAAATTCCCGTTATTCACATAGGGAAAGAGAAATTTCTTAATTTTGCGGAATATCGGTAGATATTGCGTAACAAAATAAAACCTGATTAATTTTGTATAATTTTTTCAAATAATTTAACAAACTTGCGCTGCGGGTATGTCTCTAAAATCTAAATCTGGATCTCGGAATGTTCCCGAGGTCACGATGTTCATACGGGCGAACAGACGGACATGGCCAGATCGACTCGGCTATTGACCATGATCAGGAATACATATATACTTTTTAAGGAATATATACATATACATATATACTCTACGAATAACGAGTATATATTAATATAACAAACACATAAATGTATTAAAACAATTTACATTAAATAATATTAACTTTTTTAAGTTTATTGCCAATAATTGCATAATAATGTACGACTTGGAAATACTTCCCATTTTTATTTAATACTTCTCCCAAATATTTAATCGCAAGTGAACCTGCGAAAAGAACGCGCGCCTTTAAGAAAAGGAATCCGCTAATCCATTTCGTTCTCTAATTTTTATTTCCCTTTGGCTATGTGCCGATTGCCTAATTTGTCTTTGCATGTTCTGTGCCCTTTGCCCTTCTGGTCATACATAAAATCGAATCTAACCTTTTAAAAAAGCTAGAAAGTTATCATGGTAGCTAAAATATAATGTTAGAGTTATTATTCATATACAGCCGATGTTTTTTTTCCGACGTATTTCGAATCTGCAAATAAGAATTTATACCATTACCTTGATGTATCACCGAATATAATAATGGTTTCAAATATCAGTTACATCTCTATGAATCTTTTCATAAGACTCTGAGGTCACCCTTGTCACGCCGACTGCTACGTGTGAATTTAAGAGGTATGTGTAGATGGGCTTGGAGATTTTCGCAATAACTAAAATTCGCAACCCACCTAGGTTATGGCGATGGCGAGGGCAATTCGGAACACATTCTAATTCTCAGCACATTCAAGGTTCTTGATAATTTAAATTTGAGCAGGCTTTTATACATTTTTAATTCTTATTTTCCCCAATGTTCTACAAATATCAGAATGACCTCTATCGACGTCATTGTGGTACCTATCCAAAATATTTGGAGTTTTGCTATTATTTGAATTTAATTCTGTTACTATTGGCAATATAGTTATTTCCAACTATGTTAACAATAAATTACCTTTTTCTTTAAATTTGGCTATTGGGATTTTATTATATTATATATTTCTTCATAGGAGTTAATCGATAAATTTTGTGATTAACTGCCTTCTTGTTCTAGCCTTGGAAATAATAAATCTACATAGATCTTTCAATCCATTAGTGGTTAATTTTTAATGATACTACTTTGTTTTTGCATTTTTGTATTATCCAATTTAATTTGTTTATTCTTAGAAACGGTTAATCTGACACTTCCCTAGGGTTAATAACTTCGAATATTTTCGGTTTTTCTGTTTGTTTCCTGTCTGTAGCTTTTATTTTTGCCTTTATAGGTGATGATGACCGTGTTATAATCTTTAAAACATTTTTCTTTTCTAATTTATTTAAAATCTATTATTGAGAGGGAATAATCAGATTAACTGATTGGCGACAGGCAAGCTTCTGCTCGGTTGTTTCTGAAAACTGGATTTGCTCCACATAATAAGAAAACCGATGAAACAAACAACATATTCTACGTTACCTTATCCCGAACAGCCTTACTCTTATGCGGTATCACCGCAAGCTCACTGCTTTACGATCTTCAGCGGGTTTAGCTTGTCTTTTCGCCAGGTCCCGACGGAACTCCTGGCTGTGTGCTTAGGTTCTCTGCGGAAGCCCTGTGTAAGCCTCTACTGAAACTGTTTACCTTATCTTTGGAAGCTTCACAATTCCCTCAAATATGGAAGGAGTCCTTTTTGATCTATCTCCATAAAAAGGTAACAAATAGAATGCAAGCAATTACAGACATTTTTGAAAATCAGTCCTCATTTGCAGCACCTTTGTGCAACCACTAACCTTACGGATCTAACTTCCTTCCTAATACAGGGCTTAAAAAATAATCTTCAAACAGAGGTCATATACACTGACTTTAGTAAAGCATTTGATATCATTGTATGCAGACGATGTTCAATTATGCCTGAAATATAAGGACATTTCTTGTAAATATTTCTAATAAATTTAAATGGCTCCAAGTAAAGTTATGACCTTTTGTAAACCCAAGACACGCGACATACACGCTAAGCGGCTGCTCTTTGGACAGAATAACACGTGTTAATGATCTTGGTGTTCTGCTAGACCATGAACTATAATTTTCAGACCATATTTCGTCTATTGTCAGTAAGGCCAGGGATGTGCATGGTTTTATTAAAAGGTGGTCAAAGGAATTTAATGATTTTTACATGACCAAACCCTTATTCATTTCGCTAATCCGTCCGATTCTTGAGTATGGATCACCCGTTTGAAGCCGCAATACGGAGTTCACTCGGACCGCGTTGAATCGGTACAAAAAAACGTTTTACTGTTTGCCTTACGGCGGCTAAATTGGGACGCAAAACTTATATTACCTCCTTTTTCTAGTAAAATAATGTTAATTTATTTACCTTCCCTAGTTAAACGGAGAACCATGATTGGAACAGTCTATATGTAATCTGATTCGTGGTGAAGTTGATAGTCCCAACTTGTTTAGTCGGCTAAACTTCTCTGTTCACTAGAAACTTCTTATTTTAAATCAGTGTAGATCTAACTATGTATTTCATGTTCTGACTATAATAGACTTTATCCTATTATCTCAAATCCTTACTATCTGCCGCTCTTAAAGCGATCAATACTAAAATTTTGTTAACATATACTAGCATGTTAGATCTTACTAGCATGTTACGTACACACTATTCGTGAATTTATAAGACTTTGCAGATTCGCACATTAAACCAGCCAGAATCTAAAGCAGGGGAAGGGGTATAACCATTTCGTTGAGCTATACGGAATGCAACCCAGAAAATGCAGTTCGGCATTAAACGGGTGTCAGATAACCAGACCAACGGCCGCCATCGACCCCACAGAAATGGTACTCCATTGTCAATGGTACAGGCATAGTTTAGCAACAGGCTATTGGCTCCCAAAATAGGGGAAATATGACTCCTAGGTGGGAACACGCGGCCTATCAGACGAATGACTCAAGTAGCCAAGAAAAAGCTCTAAGCCGGTATAAAAAGACTTCGGCCAACCAAGAAAGAGAAAAGTGAAGTTCTTTCTTTTTCTGGGAGGTGTCATACTCAGGAGAAGACCGGCTGAAGACAAGGCAAAGATTGCTGTCCAAGGTTTCCTAGATTTGCAAGGTCTCGATCTCCTAGTCAAGAAGCCCAGAGAACCCGGAGTGGGTTCTCCAATCCTGCACAAAGTTACAGGATTCCCTTTCCGAAGGGAAGGACAAGTAACGGGCCTAAGGACACTTCATCAAGGAAGATCAACCTTTTTGCGAGCAAACCGACAGGAAGTCCAGCGGGCACCTTGCGAAGGAAGACCGACGCAACACTGAAGAAATCACAAGATGGGCGGCAGGGAGTCCAAGGCCTCCGACAATGCGACCAAGTGATCGACCACAAAGACGAGATCCTGGGTGTACAGCGTACCCTTTATTTCATCGCTGTGCTGCTAGTGTTTAAGCCGATATTCAGATTAGGGCCGACAACCATACTTTGGATAGGATTGTGCCCAGCAACCCGCAGCCTCAATAAGTCCATCTGGAAAGGCGGAGTCCACGAAGAATGTGTTAGCAGTGACATCAAAAGAAAATTAGCAAATTAAGCTCGCTTTATAGAAGTCAGCAAATAAAAATGAGGGGAATGTGGCCGCAACATTGCCCGATTGTTTTGCGATCAAGCTAACAGCTAAGCTTGTGGGCCAGTGCGGACTGCTGACTGACGAACGGTACGAATGTATTTATATTTACAGACACTTTAAATATTTATTCTCGTTATGTTGAAGACGTGACAGGCTTACCAAAAACCCACGAACAAAAACGGCGAGCTTACGCTGGCAACCTGGTGCCTGAACATCGGATGCCTCTCCCTCAGCCCTAGTCCTTTTTCAGGACACGGGCACTAATACGCTGACGTAACAAACATTTACATATTTTCTCGTTCCATTATCACGTACGATACACGGCAGCGCCCCTCGGGAGGTGTGGCCTTACATTAAAGGAATAGTAAGCCATCTAGCTCAATTCTTTCGTTTTTACTCATCATTGACAGAGTAGACCGTCACCCAATCATCGTACCGGGGGGAAACGTAAGCAAATCAGTAGGAAGTGTCGAAAAACTTCGATGAGCTGAAAACCCTTCTTTGCCATATATCGGCGGTCGAGAATTATCTCGACCAATAGTATAAATCTCGATATTTTAAATTCATCAAATTTTTTGATTGGTGGCCCTCCTTCGTCGTTTAAAGACCCGAATGTGGATGGCTGGCTGTTTTGGTCCCGATGGAAGGATGAATGTTTAACTGTGCTGCTGCAGTGATCAAAGTGGCGTAATACTGAGTCTGGTCTTTTCTGTTTCATGTTAAGGACTAAAACTTGCCATCCATGAAGTAGCGTTCAACGAGAGTCATTGAGCGTTCGCTCTGCAATTAAGTCTCTCTTGAGACTTAAGTCGCTGTAAGAAACTAAAATTAACTACATTCTTTCGAGAATCTGTACATTTAAATTGCCGACTTATTACTAAAAAAAGTAATAGAAAAGCTTATTAGCCCTACTTTTTGTTTTAAGTCCAATAAATTAATAATAATTTGTACTTTTACTTTATCGTTTAGTTCTTTATCATTCCCAAAATATTTCTTCATAATGCAAAATGAAGTTATACACATAGGTGCTTGAAAATTAATTTATTTATTCTACTTCGGTATAATTATGCCGGTTTCTCGTAAAGTAAAAGGTATACTAGATTCGTTGAAAGCGATGTAATATATTCTTGACTATGATCACCATATGCTGCGCAAGTTTGTTTTTAAAAACTTTGACACGCCCACCCTAAACAACTGCCACACTACTCGACATTTTAATACCAGCTATTTATAGAGTGAAGGCGTATACTAGATTCGTTGAAAGTAAGTAACAGGCAAAGGAAGCGTTTCCGACCATATATAGAAAGTTGAAATTAAGCATACAGATTCCAGGGAAGTAAAAGCAGCGCAAATTTGTTTACTAATGTTGCCACCACCACTCTTATGCCCACAAACCGCCCCAACC